AAGCCGTCGCTGCCTACCCGCACCGCGCCGCGCCGGGTGCGGGAGCGTGGCGCTGCGGTGCGGTGCGGGGTCCTCGCTCGGCCGCCGCAGGTTCCAGCCCCGCAGGAGCCAGGCGGGCTGCGGGAGGGTGCCCAGAGCTTCGGGGGCTTCGGAGGAGATGGGCTGCGGAGAGCGGGAGGGCTGCGTGGGGAGGCACCCGCACCGCCGTGTGTCACTGGGCACCGGGAGTGGGTGTGCGGGATGGGAACGTGTGAACAAATGTCTTCCGATTCTCCCAGGTCGTACCAGAAACGAGAATAAAACAAAAAATAATAAATAACTCGGGTTGGGAGATCAGCTGCATCTGCGGGAGCGGGAGGTGCGGGTGTGAGCGCTGTGCGTGAGCTGCGGGGTTTATGGTGGTTGATGGACCGTGCAGGGCTGCTGCGGGGGACGGGTAGGGAAGGCTAAAGGCCTGTCGTGTCGGCACTGATATTATTGCAACCTCAGTATTGCCCAGAAATTATAGAATCAATCGTTAAAGTCGTAAGGGACATTAAAGGTCATCGAGTTCCAGCCCCCCTGCCATGAGCAGGGCCCCCCACCACTAGATCAGGTTGCACAAAACCTCGTCCAACCTGGCCTTAAAAACCTCCAGGGATGGGGCATCAACAACCTCCCTGGGCAACCCATTCCAGTTCTTCACCACCTTTATAGTGAATAATTTCTTCCTAATATCCAACCTAAATCTCCCCTCTCTCGGTTTAAAACCAGTATCCCTTGTCCTATCACTATCTTCTCTGATGAAAAGCCCCTCCCCAGCTTTCCTGTAGCCCCTTCAAGTACTAGAAGGAACTATAAGGTCTCCCTGGAGTCTTCTCTTCTCAAGGCTGAACAGCCCCAACTCTCTCAGCCTGTCTTCATAGCAGAGGTGCTCCTGCCCTTTGATCATCCTTGTGGCCCTTCTCTGGACCTTCTCCAACAGGTCTATATCCTTCTTGTGCTGAGGGCACCAGAAATGTACACAGTACTCCAGGTGGTGTCTCACCAGAGCA